GCTGAAGTCCTTTTACCATTTCCCATTTTATTTCATACATTCTAGTCTGCTTGAAGAAAAAAACAGATTTAAAGATTTGTGATGTCTTTTTTTTTTTTTTTTCCTAAATATTCTCTGTCCAGTTTTTTATTAATAGTTTTTTAATTATGTGATTGCAGCTGCTGTAACAGTGTCATAACCTGTAAAGCATTAAGAAAGTATCTATCTGTCTTCTTTGACCCCCTCCAGGTATGTGCTGTATTCTCTGGATTTGTATAATGACAGTGCCCACTACGCCCTGACCAAATTCAAGAAGCAGTTCCTCTATGACGAAATAGAAGCTGAGGTAATCAGAAACATATTTTATTCTGTCTCACTCTGTTTTTATATACAAGTCAAATCAGGAATAACAGTTTTTTTTTTTTTTTTTTAGAAAAGAGGACGTTTTATGTGTTTTTATTAAAGTGTATTTAAAAGTCATTCTGTACCAGCTGGATGTGATTATGAAAGTTTTTGTATTTGTTTGTATCTTGAGATGTTTCTTCCACCAAGCATCCTTTCCAACAACCGTGTTGAATCCCCCAATTAGTAAAACATTGTGTGACACCAATAAGCATGTTGAGCCATGTTTTTTTAGAACAAGTAACTAAAAGATTGTTGGCATCAAAGCATTCTTCTCAAACGAAGATCTTCTGTCATTCCAGGTGAACTTGTGCTTCGATCAGTTCGTCTACAAGTTAGCCGATCAGATCTTTGCCTACTACAAGATTCTAGCAGGAAGGTACGTCAAGTATTCACACAGTTCCTCTTTTCATACCATTACATAGGTAAGTGATGAAGTGTGTTAACCTGTGTTTGCACTTTTACATCTGCTTATAATCATTGATTTGGAACATGTCAGGTGGTATCCATGAAGGCAATGTGGAGGTGCATCACAATAAAACGATCCTGTTGTAATGCACTTCATTTGAAAAGACACTGTTTTGTTTTTACTCATATATTATGGAAACTTGACTTTTTCTCTGCTGATTTGAATATTTCAGTCTTCTGCTGGACAAACGTCTGAGAGCCGACTGTAAGAATCAAGGAGCCAACATCCCCTGGCCGGCTTCAAACCGCTACGAGACCCTGCTGAAGCAACGCCACGTCCAGGTGTGTACTGACCATCATCATGCATTCTACCTCTCTTTACCTCCATCTTCACTATCCTGCCATCTTGTTGTCGATACATTACTAACTGTTTGTGATTGCAGCTTCTAGGTCGCTCCATTGATCTGAACAGACTCATCACTCAGAGGGTTTCTGCTGCGCTCTACAAATCTCTGGAGCTTGCCATAAACCGCTTCGAGAGCGAGGACCTCACCTCAATCATGGCATGTTGTTTTCACTTTTGTGGAATAATGAATATACTCTGTTTCTATTTTTTAGTAGGTATCAGCTATAAGTTTGTTCTACTGTGTTACTGGTTTTTAAAGGAACTTGAAGGTCTTCTTGACATCAACCGAATGACACACAACCTCCTCAGTAAGTATCTGACTCTGGACAGCTTGGACGCCATGTTTCGGGAGGCCAATCACAACGTGTCGGCTCCCTACGGACGGATAACTCTGCACGTCTTCTGGGAGCTCAACTACGACTTCCTGCCAAACTACTGCTACAACGGCTCCACCAACAGGTGAGTTAGTTTGAGTCACAATCAGCTGCTGTGTCAATACTCCTCCTGTCCTTTCTTCAGTTTCAGTATTCTGGTGATAAACTGCTGCACTGAGTAGTTTGAACTGATTTTAAAACTGGAGTTACTGCCTGCATGCATCCAGCCGGATTGGGTTACATCTGTCCTTGTTAAAATAAGTCACAGACTGTGACAGTGTCAGCTTGTCAGGCTTGGACTAACATTTCAACATAATAATATACAAGAAACAAAGTAAAGAGCATTGAAAGAACATGTTGTACTTCTGGATGGAAGTGTGATGGAAAAAGGATGGGAATTATTGAATATCCTCTATAGACAAAAAAAGAGTTATTCACACACAGACAAACAAATGTCTCTCCTCGCAGTCTTCTCCAGCCTTAGTTGACTTCTTCTAACTATGAAGGACGGAGTCTTTGTGCGTCATTCTCTCCGCCTTCGTTTATAACTTGTGATTTGATGGAGTGCATTAAAAAGTGAGAAGTTGTTTGGATGAGAAATGTTAAAGATTTTATTAAAAGAAGACATTTATTTATTTATTTAGACCTCTCATGTACCCGGGTCGATACTGAAATGATTTTACTAGCTGAGTTTGAGCTCTTAAAATGGCGTTGTGCAGACTCAGAGCTGCAACAATCATCAGCCAATCAGGTGTGTTCTTTTCTCAACAAGTGTTTATCAGAGCAGCGATAATCAGTATGACAAGCTGGTTAGAACAGGTGATACATTGGTGCATAAGAAAGTCAAAGACATGAGTTTTGGAACAATAGAAGGAAAAGAAAAGAAGCAGATATTCACATTGAAAAGATGGAACTTGTTTTTTTTTTTGCTTTTTGCTAACAGAAGGACTTATGACGATGCGAATCAATCAGCTAACAGGTGACAATTATTTAGCATCTTAGGGTCAACCAGTTCTCCAGCAGACATCCAGAATAGAGCTAACAGCTCATTGTTTACAGCCCAATATGCAAATCGATTTGGGAAAGAGAGTTTAAGTTAAGAAATGAAGTTTAGGAAAGGGCTGTATGTGCCCTCCTTTTTTAGGATTCCTGTTGCTAAAGATAGGCTAGAAGCTAAACTGTCATCAGATGATTAGGTTTTGAATGTAATGCTTTTTTCCTGTTTTGTTCTCGACATGGACTGATATCTTGGTCAATGCTGTACACTGGAATCTTCTCTTCCATACACTCTGCATCCACGAGCAAGATTATGATGTTTAGAAGATTACAAGTTGAAATACTGTAAAGTCGCAGCATTCGGGCTGCACCAGAGCAGAAAATAACTCTTAAGCTTCTTATATGGAGGACATATAGATCCAGATCCCTGATTGAAGCAGACTATTATTTTATATGAACTAGAATCCAGGATCCCAACCAAAAGAAACATTTTAATCAGTGGGTGAAAAGAGGGGAGTGGTCAGAGGTCTTTTAAAGTAAACTGGAACAGGCTCTATACAGAATGCAAATAACACCATGTTTTAACTTGTTTTAACTGCTGTACAAACAAGAAATGCTTAATTTAATTCTAATTCACTCATACGAGCTTTGTTTACACCTTTATCTTAACTTGGGTAAAAACTCTGATATTGGTGAAGTGCTACATGTTTGATTAATCTTTTTTTTTTTTTTTGGGTTGTGTGTGTTTAGGTTTGTGCGCACCATCCTGCCCTTCTCTCAGGAGTTCCAGAGGGACAAGCCGCCCAACGCTCAGCCCCAGTACTTGTACGGATCAAAGGTCAGACACATACGGAGAAACCATTGTCCTCTTAACTTTTATTATCATGGATCCATTTTATATGGCATATTTCCACTCGAATGAATTTTACTGACTGGCTTCATATGTGATCTCCCTTGAATCCGCAAGTTGGAGCTAAATGTGTTAGTAATATCAAAATTCAAATCTGTATATTACAAGTGAAAAAAAGCTAAATTACGGGAAAAGCTACATTTAAGCCGTTTTCACATTTGCAAACCTGAACATTTCGAGAGAATTTCAGGAGGACTGCTCCTGAACTCCTCCTGATCTGGTTGTTCACACATGCACCTCACAGCAGGAGACTATCAGGGAGGAAAGACGTGATGTAAAAAAGAACCTCATGGAAGCAGCATTGTCTGCTTTACGGCGCTAAAATTAGATACTATTTATAGTTCTACAGAATCAACATACTGTTAAAACAAGTTTCAGGTTACATAATTTACATTTTAAGCAATACTACAGGTCTGTTGGGCAGTGGGCCCACCAGAGAATAAACCTTCATAGAGGCAAATAATGTGGTGAACAACATTGGTTGTGGAGTTTTTAGCTGTGGGGTTTTGTCATTGAATGTAAGGGTGTACACTTTTCGTGTATAATCCTTGTGTGACGTTTTGGCTCAAATAATCCAAACAAAAAACTCAACTAAAACTTAAAACGCACCCCTGAAACAAAATATTAAAGGATCAAAATAAAATCACATCTCAAAGTCAAACTGTCACAATACTGATGAACAAAAAGCGTAATGCAGCAGTTTAGTTATTATGTGCAAATAAATCGTACCGTCATGTTCATACAGTCTATGGTCATTATGTGGGGTTTTTCTTCAAGTACGTTTTTAATGAAAACATCCACATTAATATGACGGGCGGAGTAAACTCTGGACTGGACTGGTTGTTGGTCAATCAGAGGGCTTATATTTGATTTATGCACATGTTATTTCCACCAATCATAAAGAACATAAAGTCTCTTCTGTTGTGTAAATATCACATTTATGACACTTACATCTACTCTTTGTGATTGCCCAAGTACTCAAGCCCCGGAGTCTCAGCAGGTAGAGCGGGTTTGACTTAAGTCTGAGTCCTTGCAGCATTGGCTAGCTGTTATCCCTGCAGAGACTCTTTCCTGCATGTCATCCTCTCTTTTCCTCCCTGTGTCTCCAGCTGTCCATGAAAGCAAAAAAAAAGTCCCAAAAAGAATCTTGAAAAATATTAAATGTACATGTTTTAATGCAATAAAACCTTCTGCATCAGGGTCCATGGCATGCAATAATCACCTATATACATCATCAGCTTGTGATATGTTGCATAATTAAAATGTTTGCTTATCTGCATGCCATATTTGCAGAAATGAAGCTGCTCTTAAATATTAAAGTCTTTATCAGTCAATACTGATGAGGTGCTGTTATCATCATGTAGTAGAGTGGCTCTGAGCTTTCATTGAAAAAACAAACAAATCTTTATTATCCTAAAATCGGCTTTATCAGGCTAAAAACAGTATCCCACTGAGAGCTCAAATTATTAAATTGAAAATTGATTTTTTCCCTCCATGTCACCTCCTGGGCTCGGTAAGATTTCATTAGTGTATTATCAGACTCGTTGGCGTTTCAGTCTGTGCAAAACAATGCTGTGATGACCTTAATCCAGATGATTCATACTGGCTCGCTGCCTGACAGCTTAGCGAGTGTCCTCAGCTCATGGTCCTGGGTAATTACGTGGCTGCCTCTCTGCGTGGAGAGGAGCGGGCGCTGGATGTTCGCGGCGTGTTTTGAGCTGTCTGTGCTGCTGCGTCTGTGTGTGTAGAGACGTCCCGATCCGGACATGTCTTGGTGGTTCGAGTTGGTCATCACGTTGCAGCCGCCTCCACCCTGACCGGGGAAGGGGCAGATGTTGTGGAGACACCCCCACATCAGGATGCCGGCGATGACCAGCAGTAACAGGCAGCAGGTCAGCCAGACGCCCGCAGCGAACTCCCAGCCGGCTCTGTCGTGACCTTCGGCGCTCTCGCTCAGGGTGCTGAACACCTGGCACTGATCCTGCACCGGGTTGGCCGCCTGACAAGTCACACACAGGAAGTAGGCGGTCTGAGGGAGGAGGTTGGCCACGTGCGTGCTGGTCTGGCTGACCGGGATTCGATCCTCATGCATGAAGCTCTTGCGTTTGTAGCTCGTGGCGAGGCTGTTCCAGTTGGGGTGGTACATGACGCTGTAGAAGGTGTCCAGGCAGGTGGGCGACGGCGACCAGTTCACCCTCGCGGTGGTGGACGAGATGTTGTAGACTGTGATCCCCATGATGCAACTGTTGTCCTTCTGCTTCTAGAGTCCAGTTATGAGTGAAGTGATTCCTCAGTTACTGCATTCTGGAATTAAAGCAACCCGACTGGAAGAGAGAGAGGACGAAGAGTGAGACTTGAGATACATTTAAATGACATTTATTACCATGAAAGAGTATCACAGCCAGGCATCAGGTAAAACTAGTGGAGGAGGATTTTTCTAAAACAAATCATCTAAAAAAATTAATTTAGTCTCAAACATAAGCAGCAGGTGAGGCAGCAGGTTTAATCATTTGTCCCGCGCAGCAGCATCCACAGGTTTAACTCCCACCCTCGGACATTTACTGCAAGTTATCCCCCACTTTCTCATCCTCATTTCCATATCAATAATCTTTCAAATAAATATATGTCATAGGTATAAGAAAAAAAAAGAATGCAAAACAAAAAAAGGCTTCCTTCCTTCTCTCTTTTTCCCCTCCTATTCCTTGTTCCTTGCGCCTGTATATGAAGCTACAATACAAAAGCAATACATTCAAATGATTCATCCTCTCACTGAGCTGATACAGTTGAGTTTAGTGATTGCACTGTAAATATAAAACCTCCAGGTACGCAGATGTTGTCACATGATATGTTTGTAATCATTACAAACTGTTTGGACTCCTTCCATTGATGCACTTTTTCTGTTTTTATCAGCAAAAAAATTCACGTATAAGTCAATAAAACTAATCAAGCACTTCAAAAACCATCGCTTAATTGATGCAAAATGCCCGAAGATAAAAAAAAAAGCAAAGAACAAGTGTGACGGCACAATTTGAAGGATTATTTGGTGCGTGAGTTAGTTGGTTTGGAGGGAGGGAGGTGAGCGATGCACAGATGTTCAGCAAACAAAACACACAACAATTTGTAAAGCTCATCTGTGCTGTGAAGTCACCTGTTAGAGGACCATCTGATGACCTTGAGCAGTTTAAACCCCTCTGATCAGGTTTGAATTGGAACATTTTTAAATGAAATAGCTACTAAAACTTGTAATACATACAATAACAGCATGACCCTCAGCCCATATTTCATCATCACTGTATTTTATTTACCTAGGCGAGGGGGCATCAGATGTCTAAAATGACTGAATTATCAGACACAGATTGTCTCAAAAGGGGGGTTGTTCAAAAGACATTCACATTTTCCGCTGAGCTGGCAGATTTCAGATGTGACTTTTACAGAAAAAGTCACAGATTGTGCACCCGAAAAGATTGACTAAAAGCTTCCTGACACACGTTTTAGAAACATGACATCGTTGTCCACATGGCAGTGTCTGTTTTAAAGTTTTCAAAACCTTCGGTACTTGAATACTTTTCACGAGCACTTGTTTTGAATAAAGAAAAAGTGCCTGATAATAAGTATCAAAAAGTATCAAAGCTTTAAAGAAACTTCAGATCTTCAGTCAGATTTGAAAAGCTGCTGAGAGCAAAGGAGAGAAAGCACTGTCTGTGCACACATGCTATAGCCAACATATTTGTGCAGTTTAGACAGTGTGCAGATGTTGGCCTGCAATTTTTTTTCTTTAAATTAAAACAACAAATTACCCCAAATTGTTTGCCTTAAGGACTTTTATTTTTGTTGCCGTAGTAATGAAACAGGTTCTGATTTTTACTCGGATCATATGAGAGCAACCCTATGAGAGATTCCTAGTTATAATGTATTAGAAACATGAAAGACAGGGAGACTCACCAGAGACCTGCAGCAGCACCTGGTGAACACACCGACTTGTTCTGCTTTGAAACCTTTGGTCCTGTTATTTAGTCATCTTAGCGTTTATTCCTTACGAGGAGGGCTGTTGAAGTCTGTGTGCTCTCATCTCGCTGCTGTAGTGAGAGTGATGCTGGATTAGAGCAACAGCAGCTTCTAATCTCTGCCGTCGAGGGGGGAAGGGGGGGGGGACTCAGATCTCTTTTTAGTGGATGTCAGAATGAAAACAGAATAACATTCATCATTTAACCATTTGAAATGTTGCTGCTCTGATATTGTTTTCTATGTTTCCTTGCCGGTCTGACTGCAGACTGAAGGGATATTGATTGTTTTTTTGACACCATATAACTTTTGTCTAGGCTGTTTGTTAGAAATATAACTGTAGGATAGTGGGCGGGGGGTGGGGGTGGGGGTGGGGGGAGATATGTTCCATCTGTTCAGCTGCAAAATCTCTCTACAACCAGCCAGATTGTCATGAGGGTATTCATGGTCCCCCCTGAGAGAGTGTCCTAATGTGTCTCTGATTATGATTCTATCGTATATATATCCCATATGTGACTGTGAGAAGCTATACATACATTAACATCAATACATGGATTAAAAGAAACACTAGTGCTGATGTTGACAAAATATAGGATTGAAGGGATGTTTGTTATAATTTGCACAGCTTTGTGATTTCTCTCTAAATGAAGTGCTGATGTGCAGAACTTTGCAGAATAGAACCGAGGCGAGATGTTTTTTAAACACAAGACAAGCAGCTTGGCCTGTTTGCTGACACATGGAGCACTTTAGAACATCTCTGCGGTAAAAGAACCCACTTTTTGGTGTTTATATGTTCCTGTTAGGAAATGGTGTTTATATGTTCCTGTTAGGAAATGGTGTCAGGCTAAAATCGAAACTTTACACAAAAATCTTGTGCATTATGGGTAATGTGTCATATATGTTGTTTGAGGTTTACGGTGGCATAAGCTTCTCCGTTTGCGTGTGGATTGTTGTTTGATTCTATTATTTTCATTATCGAGTGTAATGTGGAGGCAGCCATTGTGGGCAGTACTGGAGTCGAAGATTAATTAGATAGGACAGTTGATAGAAGAAGAAACTGGGGAGAGAGAGAGAGGGGGGGGAGAGAGAGAGAGAGAGTGAGAAAGGCATGCTGGAAACAAGCCATAGGTCGGACTTCAACCTGGGCCGTCCCCAATTTTACATTTTTACCTCAAAGCTGCTCAAGCTAAAGAGAGGTGACTGTGTTCAGATATTCCTCCCAACTCTCCGATACATCATGAGTGTTAAAAGATTACTAAATTCATTCAAGTGTTGTGCTCTCTGAGAAGAACCTTTTCTGTCTTTTCCTCTGATTTAGACCCTGAACCTGGCCTACAGCAGCATATTCAGCGCCTACAGGAACTTTGTGGGTCCTCCGCACATCAAGGTCATGTGCAGACTGCTGGGTTATCAGGGCATCGCCGTGGTGATGGAGGAGCTGCTGAAGGTGGTCAAAAGCCTGGTGAGTAGAACAGAAACACAGAGGAACAGTTTGATTGTTTCTTCTTTACAGGATATGTCACTGTATCTGCCCTCTTCTGGTTTACAGCTTCAGGGCACCATCATGCAGTATGTGAAGACCCTGATGGAGGTGATGCCCAAGATCTGCAGACTCCCTCGCCATGAGTACGGCTCACCAGGTAACTCACCATGCGCCTTTTGACAAGATAGATTCAAGAAGACGATGGATAAGAATGCAAATATGAATAGAAGTGTATTTCTGGCTGAAGAATGGACTGTCAAGTAGACGGAGGGTTAATCAGATAATCTCTCGGCCTGTTGTTCAATGTCCAGCTAGTCTCCTTCAGTCGAGCATCGACTAACTTCTATTTTAAAACACAAAGTGTGCTTCTTTGCAAACTTTTAAACGTACAATATTACAATGTTTACATTAAAACATCTAAATTATAAAAAAAATGGACTAAACCCATGTTATATATTTTGTTGTTTTTGAGTACTTACATTACCTGGATGCCATGACAGCAATGCAATGTTTATTGTTACCATGTAACTGCAAACCGGAGATATCTGAAACTTAAATTTAAGCTTCACATCATGAGAGAAATAATTCAGATTCTTAAAGACATTTAAATGTATCCCATATGAGAAAACTTCTTAAAGCAAACAATCTGGCAACCTATCCGCATACAGCAGAAGAACATATACAGAGATGGGTACGGTACTTGTTTTGATCGATTTTTAATTTACTTATTACCCTCATTATGTAGACACCTTTAACCTATACACTTGAGATGACAGTGAGACTCAGCTGTGAGATTCTTAAGGTGCCATTTCCATTTTATAGTACATGTGGGCTGCTTTGATTGGTTGTTCATGTGCACTTCAATGGCCGACTGATACAAATCAAGGCGTGAGATAAGATATTAAGTCTGTTTGTTGTTTTTAGGTATCCTGGAGTTCTTTCACCACCAGCTGAAGGACATCGTGGAGTACGCTGAGCTGAAGACGGTTTGTTTCCAGAACCTGAGAGAGGTGGGCAACGCCATGCTGTTCTGTCTGCTGAGCGAGCAGAGTCTGGTACGGCCCTCACTCAAAACCAACAATATTCACAATGTCATTCAAATGTTCTCTCTCACATCCTGACATACAAGTATATACCGCTTACATATTTTTCCTTCAGTCACAGGAAGAGGTCTGTGATCTGCTGCATGCTGCACCTTTTCAAAACATCCTTCCTCGTGTCCACGTCAAAGGTAAGGGCTTTAAAGATCACGTGTTGAGAGGACTCGCTGTTCTGAGTTTAGCAGAGAGTCGGTGTCACAGCATGCTTTCTGTCATCTAGGTTAGATTAGGACTGTAGGCATTAGAGGCACAGATCAGATATTTTTCTCATGTAGTAGTGTGAGTCAATTCTTTCTTTTTTTAGAACCAGTGTGAACCAGATGTTTATATTTCAAAGTTGGTCCAGCTTCATATCTGGTCTTAAATCAGACGTCTGGTTTTTATGCTTCAAAATCAGTGACTGCAGTGGTGGAAATTTTGTCTGTGCTCATGTCAGCTGGAAGTGTTTGTGTGATTTGTTGTGAGTTTGGATACACAAACATAACTTAATTTGTTAATTTCCATTCAGTTTATTAATATAAAACATTCTATGTATAAATGTAAACTCAGCGTGCTTTACAGAAGATACAAAACAATATATGTATGACTTGTCATAAATGTAGTGCATGAGCAGACTTATCTCACGTTTGTTTTGTTTGTTTCCTCTCAGAG